GCGCGCGAGCTGCGTTACGTTTCTCGCCGAGAAGCCGCCGGGTTCGCGGCGTGGGACGTGATGCTGCCGATTCCGGGCGCGAATATTCAACTCCCGGAGAACCACACCGCGGATTTGTATATCGTTACCTTGAAACGCTTCGGGCTCGTGTTTAATCCGGAGGCGAAGCAGTGGGATTGCTTTTATCCACGAGGCGAAGAGGGAGGGGGGAATCTTCTTTCTGCCACCTCGTCCTGGAGGGGCGGGCATGCCTTCACCGGGGTCGAGGAGGAGCTGCACAACCACGTCGCCTTTTACGAGCCGATTTCATCCCCGTTGGGCGGAAAATCCGCCGCGGAAAGGGCGTCAGGATTGTCCGAAGAGCGGGGGAACGCCTCTTCATCATCTTCTTCGTCTTCCGCTGTTCTGGAGGATGCCGCCTCGCTGCGGCCGGATCTTCAGCGGCAGCGCGGCAACGCCCTCGGGCTTCTCATTGAAGCGAGCTACCGCTCCCCCCTGTACAACCCCGCGGCGAGCCTGGAGTGGAAGTTGGTGAACACCCACTCGTCGGATCCCTACCATCGATGGAATTACGCGATATCGCGAAGCTTTTCAAAATCGAACGGCCCGAATCGTCCGGCCGCTGAACTCGCCGAGCATCATCCCACCAATTCGAGTATTGCGAGCCCCCACGGGGGTTCTTCAACGGAAGGGGGTCCGATGGGGCTCGAGAAGCCTCATGGGGAGTCTTCGCTGCCCCTTTCCACCCCGCCATCCGCCCCTTCGCCGGGTCTTACGGAGCCGACGTTGGTGTTCGCGAACTCCGCACCCGCAGCTTCGCGCGCCTCGCTCAACCACCGATCTTATCCACATCTTTTACGTCGTCGTCGTTCGCCCTTACCGCTCCCACCGACGCCGTATTGGTTAGCCTCGCATAACAACGCGAGTTTGGAGCTGCGCTTTACCCTCCCAACCGGGGTGTATCCGAGCATGTTGCTACGGGAATTAACCAAAATGGATGTGAACACGCCGGATGTCGTCGATATCGATAAAGCACCGGAGGATCGTCGGGTGAACTCGTGGAATGAGTTAACGAGCGAGCAACAGGCCACCTATCGTAAATTCTTAGCCCGTCGCCGTCAGCAGCGCTTTAGAACGGAGCAACCGCGCGCGTTAAGTTTGGCGCTTTTGCATCAACACATCTTTCGATGTGGCGGGGTTCGAAACAGTCTTCTTCCTACCCTCCGCAGCTACGACTCCGTTTCTTTACCAAAGTAAGGAAATTTTTTAAAAAAAAAGAGAGAGAGGTCATAGAGAAAAAAGGTACCACACTCAGGCATCCGAAAATAAAACACGTATTTATTATACAATAGAATCATTCCAGACGTTCATAGCCAGCTACGGCAACTAAAATGCTATTTCCTAGAGCTCTCGTTCATTTTTTGAGCAGCCCCACCTAACCATATATTATCGTTGTCGATCTTTGTTAGGCTTGCGTTGACGTAGGTGATCTGGATGGCTACCCATAAGGTATAGATGGAGGTTTGAAGAAACAAACCTGTATAGATGATCGTTTTCTTGTCAAGGTGCAATTTGTTTTCACGCGGATGAATAAGTTCTAATCATTTTTGCTACTCCAAATATTTAATAGATGGACTAACACGTGCCTTCCGCAAGAGACACCTCTATTGGATGGCAGTCGTTTATCACCGACGTCTTTTCCCTCTTGTGAATGTTTTTTGTTGTTGTTGAAGCTAAACCATCCTATATTCATACTTATGTAATTTTTTCCACTCTTTTTATTTTGCTTCATTTTTGCATATATAAATTTAATCACATTCTTTATAAACAATTCATCATCTAAAAATAGCAAGACTTTACTTCGTTTTTCTCGTAGGGTCTACTTTATCGCGGATCATTATCGATCTCACCGCTCAGAACTAAACTGGCATTTTTCATGAACAGTAAAGCGGGCGAATTGAACTAAAAACGAACGCACAGGTGGAGGGGAAGATGCAGCGAGATACGTACGCCGGGCTCATCAAAAAACGCCACCTCGCGCGCATTCCCATCCGCATTCTTCAGCTAAACGGGCGTATCACCCACGAAAACGTCTATGAGGATGTTTTCATCGGCTACAGACTCCGTCGCCTCGTTCTCATGACGCACTTCGGCTACGGACGGCCGCCACCTCCTTCCTCGCCGAATTTTCCCACCATGGCCGCCATTTCCGCTTCTTCTTCGGTTTCGTCGTCTGCCTTTTCGCCGATCCCGAAGGATTTCGTCGTCGCGAGCTTCGAAAAGCTGGCGAAGATGCACAATCCGGGGTTTGTCTACCGTCTGGTTCCTTTGCTTTGTGCGGATATCGACACCTTCGCAGCGATGCAGGCGATTTGCGCGAGCGAAGGCAGCCCCTTCACGATCGAAGACCGCCGCGATCCGGTGGATCTCACGCATCGCTTCCCCAACGGCTGTGCGCAGCGCGGGATAATCGGGGAGTTCTTCAAAAAACACATCTCCCCCGAGGAGATGGCAGAGCCCGCGGCCTCGCGACGGCTTCCGATCACCGGTATCGAGTTCGACGGCCTCCTCCTCACACTCGCGCGGGAGCGAATCGCCGGAAACCCCCCGGCGAGGGCGGAAAAAACGCCGCCTTGCGAGGTGGTGGATCCTCTCGCCGGGCGCGTTTCCTCGGATTCCCCCCTTCCCTCCTCTTCTTCTTCTTCTTCCTCTTTGTCGGGGGTAAACCACCCACCGGATGTCAACGAAGGCGAGGTGGCGGGGCAATCCCCGCCGACACGGCATCAAACGCTTTCCGTTGGCGCCCTTCTCACGACGCATGGGGTGTTGAACGAAAAGGTGCTCCTCCAACGCGCGCTCGTGCGGGATTTTTTTGAATCCCCGTTGTATTGGCAGCTCAAATCGAATACGCCGCTGATCGGGGAGGTGAGCGCGTCGCCGCGGCGGATGCATTTTATCGCAACGCAGCGCCCCGTCGGGTCGGATTCCGGCAGCGGGCGAACCGCCCTCTTGCAGATGGCAAAAGAATTCAATCTATTCGTCTACGAAAAGGTTGATAATGAGCTTTATCAGTTTGCGGTGTAATCAATATCGATATCTATCTATCTATCTATATATATATGAGACAGAGAGGGAGGGAGGGGAAAGTAAAATAAAATAAAAAGAAAGAGGTAGGTGCTTGTGGTACTTTTGGTACTTGGATCTGTTGAGTCTTTAGGGTTGGAGGGTTGAATAGGAATCTTTGGATTTCCTGCAGGCTTGTTCACATATTCGTAAATACACACTTAGGATGCGTTTGATTACCAAGCTGGGGGCATTGGGGGAAGCGGTCAATAGCTTCCTTAACCCCCTCCCCTCCCCCCCCAAAATGGGTCCCTAAGTAAACTATGCTTAGATACGCATGTTGATATCTTTCTTTTGTGGCTCCCTTCTTTTTTTTCTTTTCTTTTATTTATTTTTGTGTCCCCAAATATTTCCCTTAGCGGCTTATCTCAACGGTGTGGATCTCTCGTCTTCTCCAGCCTCCTCCGTGTGGGTTCTGCGATGTGCGAGGCGGTGAGTGGAAAGGCCGAACTCCCTGATGAGGGACGGGGGGTGGCATCCCCAACAAGGGGGGCTTCCAATTTCGAAAATAACCCAAAGGGGGGTTCGAATGTCGAGGAAGGGTGGGCGGATTGCGTAGGGGCTGGGTCGTGGCTGCTCCAGGGTCCGCTGCGGTGCTACGCGGAGCCGTTGCCGGTGCAGCGCCGCGTGATTCCGCTCCTCCGCCGCGCGCTGCGGGGTGGGGTCGCGATGGACGTCAGCCTCACGGCGCCGACGGGGAGCGGCAAGACGCTTTGCTACCTCCTCCCGATTCTCCTGCTTATCACGGAGGAAAAGCGGCGGAATATGGATGAAACCCGACTTCGCGCGATCGTCCTGGTCCCCACGCGCGCGCTCGGGCAGCAGGTGTTTCGCGAGCTCGCGCGACTAACGCGGCGGACGACCATCCGCGCGGCGACGCTCTGCGGGGCGTTGGAGTGGGAGAAAGGCGGAGGGGAGGGGGAGCGCCTCACGCGATGCGTGCGCGACGAAAATGACGAAAATGACGAAACCGGAGGGATGGAGGGGGGGTTGTTCGCCGTGCAACGCGGAAACGCCCCCCTGACGGCGGCAGCGGAGATGGAAGCAGGGGAGGGATGGCGGGAACCCAGGGGGGATTACTTCTCCCTCGTGGATATCCTCGTCTCCACGCCACAGCGGCTGCTTTTTCATCTCGATCGCACCCCCGGGCTCTCCCTGGCGGCGCTCCGTCTTCTCGTGGTGGATGAGGCGGATCAGGTCTTGGAAGGGAGCTTCGCGAATCTCGTCGTGAAGGTGGTGGAGCGCTTCGAAGAGGAGGTCCATACACGCGCGACGAGGGAGATGGCGGCGGAGCGCGCGGCTTTTGAGTCTTTGCGAGGGAATCCCGCCGAAGAGGAGGATGGGCTGCTTCGGTATCTTTCGTTTTGCGCGCAACAGCCGCTTCGTCGGGTCGAGATGGCCCCGGCGCTTCATAAGGTGCTTTGCTCCGCGACGTTATCCCCACGCATCGCGCGCATCTCGCAGGTGCATCTTCGCAATTGCCAATACTTCACGTTGAACACGCATGGGGAGGATATCGGGCAAGGGGGGGGGGAGGGGTTCGCAGGGGCCCTTCCTCCGCCTTCCGATACCGCGCCTTCTGCGGTTTCTTCGCCGTCCGTGGGCGTCTCCTTCGCGCTCCCGCCAGCCCTGCAGGAGCACGTCGTCTTCGTCGAGGAGCCCTACCGCCACGCGGTGCTGCTCAAACTCGTCTCCACCCTCCTTCGACGGATCGAACGCCGCCAACGACGACGCGCCGCCGCCCTCGAAGGCAGCGAGCACGACGACGACGATGCCAACGAAAACGAAACGGAAAAGGAAAAGGAAAACGAAACGGAAAAGGAAACGGAAACGGCATCCGATGGCGACGGCGACCTCGACGAGGCCGCGTACCCCGACGTCGACGACGGCGCCGGCGAGGGGGTGTTGGTGTTCTGCAGCTCCGCGGAGGAGGCGCGGGTGATGGGGCACTTCCTCGCCGCCGCGGGGGTCCCCGGCGTGTTGGAGTTCACCACCCTCGCCACCGAGGCGGAGCGGCGTCGGGCGCTGTTCCGCCCCGCCCCCGCCCCCGCCTGCGTCGTCGCGTCGGACGCGTTGATGCGGGGGGTCGAACTCGCGGGGGTCGGGCATGTCGTGTTGTACCACCCCCCGGAGACGCTCGCGC